CAAATAACTAGCAATTGAATTGTGACTTGTCCACCAAAGTGGGGTAGGCGGCTGCAGCTGGAGCCTGTAGCGGCTGGTGCGATTGCGACGTTGATGGGAGTGGGGCGCGGCAGCGACGAGCAGGTGACGGGAGTGACGACGAGCAGGCGTGGCGAATTGCGATGGCCGTCGGCCGATGAAAGAGATGACAGACTCCCAGACGAGACTCGAGTGTGAAGACCGAACGGGATGAAGGGGATTTGGGCACTGTAGATGCGGTTGCGACGGTGATGGGAGTGGGGCGCGGCGGCGACGAGCAGACGGGAGTGGCGACGAGCAGACGACGAGCAGATGGGAGAGACGACAGACTCCCAGACGAGACTCGAGAGTGAAGATCGAAAGGGATGAAGGGGATTTCAGGATTTGGGCACTGTAGAAGGGTTGGGCTAAAGGGGATTTGGGCATTTGGCCCATTTGGGATTTGGATTGGGCTTTATAATTAAAAGTGAGCCTAGTATATGTTGGGCCGGTATTACCGACGGTAAAATACCGTTTAAATATGGTAATTTTCGAAAACGATCGGAAAAGGGCTAAACCATTTTCGTTTTCATTTTCGAATTTTTTTACCGTTTCCATTTTCGTTTTCCCAGTTACCGTTTCCGTTTCCGTTTAGCCTTCAAATCCAAAAAATTTCGAAAACGATTCCCAGTAATAGGAAATTACCGTTTCCGTTTTCATCCCTATCGAAAAGTTTGTTGCCTCTTTTCCTTCACTGCGCTTCAAAAGAAATATTATTGCACTCGCCATATACGGCATAATTACATTTGTGGCTCCAATAATTACCTAATTTATCTCCTCGTGTTTAAGATATAATGTCCGTCATTTAATTTAATTACTAACAATATAATTAATTGACTTCTTGAACTGAGACTAGTACCACTCAAATCTTTATTATTATATCAAAATAAATTTGACTGACTTAGTTTAACATAATAATTCTTCTTGAGTTCTCGCGGACATTATCAAACCATCTCACAAATTTCTTTTAAACAGTTAGAGAATTTTAAAGAAATATAATATTATAAAATCAAATTGGAATAAATTAAAGAATTCTTAAGATTTTTAAAATCCTTAAAAATTATTAATTAATTAAAAAATTTAAAATATCCCTAATTTATATATCACTCTGGTTTGGTTTTACTCACCGATGACCGACCGACCCGCACAATATTTCTAGTGAAATCGATTTTTGTTGGGGTTTGAGGTAGTTTCCGTCGGCCGATATGGAAACAAGAAAGCTCCAAGTGCGGCAGCTGCTCAAGGACAAAAGATTCTGGTTCGCCTCTTTCCTCATTACCTGGGCCGCTGCTCTACAGGTGTGTCTGTCAAATTTTATATGCAATAAAAGGAAATAAAGAAAGAAAGAAGGAGAAAAGGGCAAATTTGTGTGCCCTTTTCATTTGTTATGAATTTTGTGTATTGAACTTGCGCAGGGGCATATGATGTGGCTGCAAAGGCAAGATTCCTTCAAGCATAAGTTTGGGAACGATAATCAGCAATTGGGTTCCGACGAAGCTGCCCAGAATCAGTAATACTTATTGTTATTTTTTAGTTCTTTAATTAGCTCAGTTTATGAAACATTTATGATATTGCTGGATGCTTGAAATATTTTGGAAATCGATTCTGTTGGCTTGGGTCTAATAATGCCTAGTTTTCAAACAGATTCTGCTGAATTTGTAGATTTGGGTTCACCCGGAAATGAAATGAGATATGATGTGTGGTGTAGTTTTGCGGGTTTATGTTGTGGGGTGCAAACCATAGCAGGGAAATTCTTGAAATCCGATCGATTGTGATAGCGTGTGTTTGTGTTTATGTGCATGTTATACATGTTATGATGTAGATTTAGTTTAGTTGTTTTTCTCGGGGCCAAAGACGTGGAATCTGATTTTCTTGGATATTAATATAGTTGGAAAAGTGAATGACCCTGACTAATCGTGCTTTCTCCGGTTAGTTGTCCATTATAGTGTACACAACATGCTTGCTGCAACTGTGATGAAGCTTTAGTATTTAGAGGGCAGCCCAGAGCCATGCCTTTTTCTACTGAAGTTTCAGATAAAAAATTGATTGATGAACTTTTCGAAGCTCCAAATTTGATCTTTACATGTAGGAATCTGAAAATTTTATGTTATATGAAACAAATTGAAACTTAGGTTGCTCTACTTATGAATACATATTGCTGAGCCCAGGAACCAGGCTGAAGAGTGGCCGAAAATCAAGAAGTAAGTTGTTTCGAGACATTTGGTATTTTTATAGTTATAGTTATATTCGTATATCCATTAGTTTGAGGTCTTTGGCATGAGCTCAAAAGAAAAAGAAAAGCGACGTCTTGATGCACAGATCAAAGCTTGTGGAGTCCAATGGTGGGCTCCAAATGGTCGGAATTGTGGTAGACTTTACTTGAGAGTGGAATTTTGAGCTCGACTTTAACATTAGGCATTTTATGTGTGTAATATGTAGCCCAAAAGTATAACTGTGAGGACATAGGCTCGGTAACCTAAAGTACTCTTACCTCGGGTGACCTACAAAGGAAGCTCAGTATGTTAGTAAGTTATTTCAGAGTCCAAAAACCAGATCCATTCGCAAGGCACAGGATCTATCTGGAGTGTGTGGTAATTTCATCTGTAAGAAGCTGAGCGTTGTTCGTCAGCGGTATATTGGTGTGTAAAAGACTGTACAGCTTATAAAGTTCCTCTATATTTGGCTCTTCTTTAACAGATCTTGAGTGTGCTCTCAATTCGGCTTAGAACTGCCACTGGGGTCCACCGGTCGAGGTTGAGTAATCTTCATTTTTGTCTGCAAATCCTATTATTTTGTCCTTAGCCTTAACTAACTGTGCAGAGGCAGAGAGGTGGAATAGAAAGAGAGAGATTATTTTTTTTCAAATTTACCTTTTCAATTGAATTATCATTATATTTTAACACATATTCCTTATTTTTTCACTGTATTGTCGATAAATATTATGTGAAAACATAATGCACGTTGATCGAACATTCAACTAAGAAAATAATGAAACAGATATTAACTGGGAATGCATTTCATGCATCGATAGTTTGTTGCCTTTTTCGTATAAATGTTCATTTGTTCTGTTATAGGAATGTCCAGTGTTTTGTTTGATCAAATCATTCCTTGGGTCTTTAATGGAAATTCAACTAGAAAGGTAATAATATAAATGGACAGTAAACTAAATATTAGTCGAGTACCAAGAGTATGTAGAGCTTCGTGTACGAGTTGAGTCAAACGATAAACTTGTAGAGTCGAACGATAAAATGGCCCGGCTAGCCAAGACCCTCACACTAATGGCCATTTGCGGTTTAAGACTTGAGTTCAATTCGTTAATTTTGATAAATGATATTATCAAACCACTTGAATTCAATGTGCTCAAACAAAGCCTCAAATGTAACCCAACAAACCTTTAGAGCCAGGTTCACCTAATCCCAACTCAGTAATTGTTGAGTCTTGCTCTTCTGGTTCTGAACCGGACTCCTCGGACAATTCTCTCCCCAGACTTACACCAACTATTTAGGAAAAACAACGAATTAGGCGTAGCACGAGGAAAAAGAAAAAGCTCGACCATTTTTGAGATTCGCCGATGAAGTGGTAATTTTTGGTTGTTGCCTTTCTCCTTTATGTTTTTTCTTTCTTTCGGTTTTATTAGGCTTATGTAGACCTGGATATTTTTGGCCCATTTAGGGTTGTGACTATACTCAGGTTGAAGATCCAACCTTAATCCCCAAGTCATTTTTCCTGCTGACAAATTACACACGCCATAAAATGTTTTTACTAAGAGAGTAAATACACTTTTACAGCCGAGTCAAAGTGTAGTGGTAAGTTTCTAAAAGAAAAATCTTCTTCTGCTTTTCTTTCTTGTTACCTAAGCTAATCAATTAAGCTTCACGGTCGTCATGCTTACGATTGCAATGACGTTTCACTCGTTTGAGTAGCTTCCTATTTCACACTTTGATTTCTATTATTTACGCTCACAAAGTCACAACTCATTTTAGTATCATAAGTATGTACTCATATACAAATATAGTTTTGAGTTTTGACTCTTTCTTTTCTGGCTTACACTATATAACTTTACTCCATTAATTTTGATTTTTCTTAACATGAGATCCTAGACGAGAATGTAAATAAAATCTATAGAAACGGCTTTACCTTAGAAGGTTCTATAACTTCAATTAGAAGTAAAAAAAAGCTGGAAATATGTAGACATGGCCAAAACCCGAGCCGTCGGGTTGGGTTTCATGGACCCTGAACCGGCACGGACCTAGGGTCATGCCGGGTCCACGACCTAGATCTGGGCCCGCCCAGATAAAAAATAATAAAAAAAATTAAAAAATAATGTGTTTTCCCGTGCCGGACTGAACCCGGCCCAGACAAAGCGCGGCCTGCCGGGCCAGGGCCGACAGAAACATGACCATGGACCGGCCCGTTTGAAATCCGAGCTGGGCCAAGACATGTGGTCAACGGGTTTGTCCGGGTCCTGTCCGGGCCAGGGCCACCTCTTAGGTATGAATAAACCATACGTAACAAGATATAGAAGAACCTTCGTAATTCTGCTTACGCCACTCTTATTGATTGTTCACCAAGAATATACTTAATTTTATTAAAAGATTAAAATAGAAGAAATCTGACTATCTGATTCCTTCACTAGAAAGTTATTAAATCCTCAATTTTTTTTACTACTAAAAGAAAGGGGGAAAAGAAAAGGTTTTGAGCAAACACGATTTGAATTAGTATTAGTAAGTTCCATTTGTTTGACTTTGATTGCCCAGTCTTCCACACTTGCCCAAAGTCAACATTCACATAAAGTCAAACTCATGACCAACTATATATCAAAGAAAAACCTTTATATATAACCCCACTGAGTCCCTTTCTCATCATCATCATCACTCAATACACAAAAACCATTCATCACTCGCTTAATAATTACTAATTAATCACATTATTATTACTCTCAAATGATGAAGAGAGAAAGAGAAGGAGAGGAGAATAATAAGGATATTACCATCATGGCCAACTATTTGATGCTATTATCGAGCGCCGGGCAACGAGTCGACTCGAGTAGCACAAATCGCGTGTTCACGTGCAAAACGTGCGACCGGAAGTTCACGTCTTTTCAAGCCCTAGGCGGCCACCGAGCGAGCCACAAGAAACCGAGACTCTTGGACGGTGGGGCCCACGTTGATCTTCATATTCCACCGCCATCCCCGCCGAAGCCGAAGACCCACGAGTGCTCGATATGCGGGCTCGAGTTCCCGATCGGCCAAGCGCTCGGGGGCCACATGAGGAGACACCGGACGAGCTCTAGTGGCGGTGAAGATCACTTTGTGAAGAAACTATTAATGCCGAACAACAACAAGAGGGTTTTGTGCCTAGATTTAAACTTGACTCCAGTGGAGAACAAGTTTGTTTTTGGCAAGGTTGATTCGTTTTGCTGGTGATGATTTGATTAATTTCATTAAAGCTCCGCGCTTTGATTTGGATTTTGGATCAAACCATGATTTGTTTAGTTTATTTTATTTTATTCTTTTATGTAGGATATGGGAAATATTCATCGATTTGTAATACTACATTTGTTATTTTATGTACATAAGTACATTATCATATCTGTATATATGTATATAATATTATAATTCATGACATTGCGAGGTTGTGAATGTGAATTCCGGAAAACTAAAGTCTGAATGTTAATTTAGTTAGTGAAGAAATAATTAAATGAGTCCAATCTAGAGAAACAAGAAAGTAGTTTAATGAGTGTGAAGTTGATTAACTCGCGTAAAAGGAAAAAAGTCGATATATATTTAGATATTTTTTGTTAACTTAATTTGGCTCGAGCTGGATGACTTAAGAAACTAAACTCGAGCTCATTTAAAACTCATTCTCAGCTCGAAAAGAGAATTTTAATAGAATTTTTTTTAGTTGAGTCTGTTAAAACTCGAGATCAGCTTGTTAATAGCGATAAACGAGCCAGTTTGAGCTCGATTTCTGACTTGTTTATTTACGAGTCAAGCTCGACGACTCTGCTCATTTATTTAACGAGGCGAGCTCGTTAATTAACGTTGAACTAATGGATCCTCATAAACTTGCAAAAGCACGTAGTTCATTAACTCTTGACTTTAGATAAATAAAAATAAAACTAAATAATTAAAAATCAACTCTTACTAGTCTTAGTAGACCAACAGTTTCCTTCAGTTGACAAATCCTCTACTATAATGTATATTATTAATTAATTGTACCGCGTTTTACATTAGTCTAACTAACGTTTCTAACAAACTTTCTAGAAAAAATAAATATTATTATCTATAGCAAAAGACCCACGAGTATTTTGATGACTTCATGAATGACAACTCAAAATGTTACAGTTCTGTTACGATACAGTCTCGTCGGATGTTTTAACCGTTGGATCATCTATCTTATTTAACTACATGTGAATCTTTTGGTTAAAATACCTGACGAAATAGTATCGCAAGAGGACTGTAACATTTCTCCTCTTATATATACCCTTTCCCACTCTCTCTTTTTGTTATTATTTATTATTATTATCGTATTATTCCATCATTGCTCTGATTTGTTTATGTGTTGACTAATTGCTTCGAATTAGTAGTGATCAACGCCGCAAATACATAGGTACGCCAGGGCGCACGATAGTAACACTGGATCAACGCATCTCATGAATCATGATACTTAATGGGGCAAAAGTACCTCCAATTTAATTGGATAGGTTTGATTTTAAGAACATCTGACCACAATAAAGTAGAATCCCCAAACTTAAGCCCATTCCTTAGTATAAAACTGAAATTTTTTTCTTCACATAATTCATCCCCCAAATCCCTAATTGCTGGTAGCAGATGTGGTCAAACCCCGGTTTTGGGTTCAGGTTGGGGTTTGGAGGAACCTAGACAAACCGGAACATAAGCATGAACCGGTCCATTGAACCGGCAGTCCGGGCCCGGTTAGTGAACTGCCGGTTCGCCGTCGGTTATGGCCAAGTTCAATCGATTCTGGTCAGGCCGGTTTTTACTTACAAAAATTAGGCAGGGGTGGAAGTTAAAATATCAATTATATTGAAGGGACTTTTGAGTTAAAAAATAATAGTTTAACTTGTAATATGTGAATTAAATTATCTGCGTATCTCTTACCTTGAAAATCGAAGCCCTCGTAGTTCCCTTTACTTACCTTGATGAAAGTATATGGCAGGATTGAATCGACGATCTAGTAATTGTAATCTTAGGTCTCGTAGTCCTCTTCATTTCGTGGAGTTCCACTAGTACTAGCAGTATTACTAAAATCGGATGTCTCGTCTGCTTCATCATCTTCGACAGTTAGCATACTTGTTTGTGCCCTCATTCCAGCCTACTTTCAATCGCTCAACAACATTTGAACCTCCAGATTTTATGGCGTTAACCTCGACCATTGTGCGTCCAATGTATATTCTCCCTCGTTGAATGCTTGTTCAACCGCCACAGTTGAGGTTGGGACAGTGAAAATCTCCTTGGTCATCAAACATGGATATGATAAATGGAGTCATCTTTGACCACCAATCCAATACGTCGAATTTTTGTGGATGAACTAGTTCATGAGCAATCGTAGATATCAAATTCGTCGTGAGATAGTGATCGAGCTCATTGTATCTAGTCCCCTTTGTCCTTTGGATCTTTTTGTAAATGTTAAAATTATCTTCCAACCAGTCACCGAAGTTTTCGGCTTGCTGCCCCGCGTCCGATTGTTGTTTCTCTAAACAATTTATACAATAAAAGTTTTGCTTACTCGACGAGTTGTCACGGGTTAGGTCTTACACTGATAGTCGGGACATCAGCAGAAAGCGGGAGTCGACACATAATATCATAATATGCGTGAAGTTATTTGATGAAGCCATTTTCACGTAATGACGGATATAACAAAGATCCAACTAAAAATGTATCGAAAATGAAAAAAAAAAAAAATAACATATTAACTATTTTCTTAATATATCTCTTACAAGTTCGCCGTGTTTGTCAGGATCACTAACAAAAATAAATGACACCAACGGTGACATCACAATACTTACGTTGAGAACTATGAAAAAAAAAATCCTCTAATTGTGCTGCAAATTCACGCTTTTCATTAACATTTTATGAGTTCCAACAGTTTGGAACATCCAGTTCAAATTTTTTAGGTCTAAAACCTTGTTCTTTACAAGACATTCCCCATTTTTTTATTTCTTACCGACAACGATATAAGTAACGACATTCCTAATAGGTGTGACCGACTCTTTTAAAGCATGACACCCCTCTTGAACACAAAGATTAAAGACATTTCTGCATGAACCAAATATGTTGGTGCATTTCTACATGAACCGAATCGAAATGCATCGAAAATCCAAAAACCAAACGAATCCGTGCAACCCGGTGCACCCTTTTTTTTTTTTTTTGGGTGTGTGTAGTAAACTTTCAATTCAATTTCAGTACAATTTTTGTGTTTTGTGAATCTATCTGAAAATTTTACAATTTTTTTTTTCTCCGGTATGGTGCATTTCTCACCCATAGACAACATAAATGAAAGGGATAGTAGTCAAAAGTAATCTCCTCTCAGGAGATCGAATTGAACTTATCATCATATCAAATACAAATCTTCCCCACATAGAACAAGATTCAAGAGCAACATGCACATGCTTGCCCCCCTTTCTGATAAATTGATAACTTAACCTGTGTCACACATGAAAACACAAATCCCCAGACAGAAAAATGGGGATTGTTCCCATGATTGCCCCTATAATCCGAATGTTAGTTCAAAACTCACCACTTTCAATAAACCACCAACAAAAGAACACTATAATCAGCCATCAGCGTGTGGAGCCCACAAGTCCGCCGAAAAAAAAAACTAATTCTTTTTCTTTCCCTCACTAGCCGCAGCAGCCCGCTGCTTCTTCCTCCACGCCGGCATCCTGCCCGGGAAAACCCACCTCAGAAACTTCTCCCACGCGTAGCAAACCACAAACGTCGTAAAAGCCCACAGCAACAGCTTATTCCTCAGCTCGGTCGGCAGAGGCACCAGTTTCAGCCAATCATTCAAGTCCCTGAACAAATCCGATGTAATCGCAGTGAAGAAAACCACAGCCCCAACAAGCGCATACAAAAACGGCTTATTCTGCCTAATGCTCTGGTTAAAAGGATGCCCCATATAGTTCACAGCAAAAGTCGCCACCTGGAGCATCATCCCCACCATGTAGGACACCGTGTTGACTAGATTCGGGTGGAACTCTGAGTCGGGCTCGATACACTCGTCCGGCATGTACTTTCCGGCCTCTTTCACCGAGTACACGAGGAAGAGGATATGAACGGAAAACTGGCCGAGAAGAGAGAGGAAGACATAATAGCAGAAAATGTTCGGGTGGGGCCGTTCGGCGGAGAGGCGCGGGAGTGGAGAGGCGTGGGAGATGAAGAGGAAGAAAGCGGCCGTGAAGATGCCGCTGATGGTGGCTTGAATGTCACCGAGCTTGACGCCGTCCAGGTACATGACGCTGAGGACATAGGCTGTGGCGAGGCAGTTGAGGCCGAGGATTTTGAACATTTGGAGGGTGGTGACGAGGGTGCTGCGGCCCTGCCGGATTATGTCAGTGGTGGGGCCCACAGAAGCGTGCTTGGCGGTGAAAGGGGAAGCCATGGAGGCGTCGCCGAGCTTCACGATGGGGGCCGAGCGGGCGCCGCCGTCGGCGGCCTCGTCGTTGAGCTCGCTCATCAGCTTCTTGAGTTTCTGGCGTTGAATCTCGGCGGCGGTGAGGTGGCGGTTGGAGGTGCTGCTGCCGGAAGAGGAAAGGTCTGGCTTGGGTGTGGGCTTGTTGGGTTTCTTGAGCTTTCCAGATTTGTCGGTTTCAGGCTTGGGCTTGCCGGATTTGTCGGTTTCAGGCTTGGAGGGCTGCTTCTTGTCGTTTTGGGATGGGGGGATTGCATTGAGGAGAGCAACACCGACGTGTGCCTGGGGAAGATAATATATTTGTGTTAGTTTTTTTTTTTTCCCCCTTTCTAAATTGCATGCACAACTAATACCTGCTTCAGGGCTCCGACATCGTTGGTTCCATCACCGCACATCAGGGTAACCCTTCCCACTGATCTAAATGTTGTGATGATGAGTTCCTTTTGCTCAGGGGCAACACGTGCAAATACCTAGCAAGCATCAATCAAAAGCCTATTCAGAGAGCAAAATCGGAATTTTAGCAGGGACACACAACACGAAGGAATCTAATCTAGGCTTCACCTTAACATATGGAATGACTTTGAGGGTAGAAGAAGTCTGCTGCAACATCTCCATGCAGTCTCCTCCGATGCAAAGATCGTGAGACTCGGATAGAGCTTCAACCTCATTTTCCCTGTTAAAAAAGGTCGAAACAAACAAAAGAAATGAGTCCGTTGGTCCCAGTAAAAGACGATCAAAATGTTAGCGAGTGAAGATGCAATAAAATGTACACAAATTAGAAAGAACTACAGATCATAGCTAGCTTGCACGAGGTAGTGAAATGGATGAATCACGGGATTCGGGAAGCAACAAAGTAAAAGACACAGATTAGCGGGTGAGGATGTAATAAAATGTACACAAATCAGAAAGAACTACAGATCATAGCTAGCTTGCACGAGGTAGTGAAATGGATGAATCAAGGGATTCGGGAAGCAACAAAATAAATGGAAGTGTCTGTCTTTGCATCTGTTATTCATACCTGTAGCTAATTGTAATCGTCTCGTCTGGAGAAACCCACTCATAGCCATTATTATTATTTGCACGGACAAGAATTAGTGGTGGTTTTGAGATAATGTTAACTTGGCTAGCTACATGACAAGCTGTCAACGCTTGATCTCCGGTAATCATTACCTGAAAGTATTAAGAAAAAAGAGAGAGCATCAAAAGATGTTCCAACAGTCCTATATATATTTTTTTTTCTAATTTCCTCAGAATAATTACACATTGATGAGCACAAAAATCCTGGGAACTGAAGCTGGATAAAATAAAAATGGAAATATAATATACACATGCTATCAACCGTCCGTCACCAATTGAAACTCAGGTTGTATATCATCAATAATATATTGCAACACGACACAACACAACACAAAAGACTCAGAAAATAGTCACCAGATCATGTGAAGATCCTTTTAATTCAGACAAGACAGCAGCTGAATCTCCTCTGATAGGACAATTGAAAACCTGAAGCATCAAATACAAAATGATATCACATTAACTAATTTGACTTGAAGGACAAATCCATGAAAAAGTTGAATTAGTCCCTTAGTATCAGCCTGCATGCTATTAATTATACATTTTTTATTAGTATTTTCATGCAGATGACAGTAGAGACGTGGGAAAGTAAAAGAACCGTGCCAAGCTTTTATCTAATAAGATTGTGTACCGCGAAACCAGCAAAAATAAGACCACTTTCCACAGCGTCTCGCTCCATGCTTCTTGCTTCACTAACCTTCAAAAAGGTAACAAAATATGCAGTAACTAGAATAACTTCTACAGGAAAGAATTACTGGTTAAACATCCACCAGAACCAAGAAACTGACAAGTAGAAGTAACAAATCATGAAACAAAAGAAGAAAGTACATGCAGACACACTCCTAAACTAAAAACATGCATTTAAATCTGTAAAAAAATCTACAGATGTCACAAATAGAAATCGTAATAGGAAACTAAAAACCAATACTAAAGAACAAAAATCTTCTCTGGCGCTCCTAGACTAACATATAGTCTGATGGTCCACATTAATATACTAAAATTCTTACTTCAATTCTCCACATATAGGACTTCTTATCCATACTCCACCAGATTCTTTTGTGCATATTTTTAGTAGCTTAGCACAAAGAAGTGAAACGCTAACAGAGAAAAGATGTGTATAAATGGCCGCAGTGTGGTGTTATTCTTTTAAATATGTAGAAAGTATATCATATCAACAACGAATCCAACCAATGAGATTAAGTATAAGAGCATTGATCAGCACAAACAACAAAAATGCAAGATACCAAAACTGATACTCCCTCTGACCCGGAGACTTAGAGCATTTGTTTATGGAAATTTTCAAAAGAATCCCAACATTTTAACTAAACCATTTTTTTTTAACTCAACTTTAACCAACCTCACTATCATCATTATCATTATTATCAATATAACTAAATAATATCAATCAATCATTTATACACACCACATCAACCTTAATTCACTATTCATCCACTCACATTATTTTAACTAACCATCACATCAAACCATCTCTCTCCTACTTTTACATCAAATCATTTTAATTATTTTATTTTAAATATTATTTTAATATACCCACTAACAACTAACCATACCACCTTTTCCAAAATTAACCAAACCAAACCAAACCAAAAAATCCAAACAAAATCCAAAAATTTCTATAACCAAACATGCTCTTAAGTCTCATTTCAATGTAATTGACGAAGTGAAGTTCAGTCCCACTGTAATTGACCTGTTTCAGAACATTTGTTGCAGATACTTTCTGGCAATTTGGCTGGGGATGAAAAGTGAGGTTGAAGTATTCAATGTGACCTGCGGGATGTCCTCAGCGCCGAGAAACATGTACTAGGGTGTATGTGCGACTCGTTTAGAATATACCTACTAACAACTAACCATACCACATTTTCCAAAATTAACCAAACCAAACCAAACCAAAAAATCCAAACAAAATCCAAAAATTTCTATAACCAAACATGCTCTTAAGTCTCATTTCTTATTTTCTCATAGATTAAGAAAGTATTTAATGTATCCCGTAAACATAAAGCAACAGTCCAGGTTCCTACGGTACCCTTATTTACACTGATTACAATGTTGATTAATTACTTTGAAAAGCAGTTAAATTCCCAATTTAATAGGATATATAGAGGACATAAATTGAACACACCTTAAATAACAAGAGTATAGAAGGTCGATATCGTTTTGGGATTAAAAAAAGGTGATGTTAGGTGACTACCAAAATGGGATGGATGATGGATTTTTTTTTTTTTTTTTTCAAGAGCAGCATCGATATGTAAATAATAATCGGTCTAAAAGAAATCAAGTACAATTAAATTCCATCCAGATATGTAACAAAGCAAATTTAAAATGTCCGTGTATCAACAAGTAAGCGTAAGCAGTCAACAAGTATTCCAAGACAGAATTCTTACTGTCATATCCGGTAGAGACTTGTATGCCAAAGCCAAAACACGAGATCCTTGACGCGTGTATTTCTTGTAAGTGCTAACATACCATGCAGGCACATCAACTAGCCTTTCTTGAATGGTTTCTGGTGCACCCTGAGAAAAGGGTTCTTTTTACTTTCTTCAGATTTGGGGAAAAAATGAACACATTTACAGATCAAAAAGGGAGTAGCAAACTAAATACACCCTCCTATGAATTTCCTACCAACTATCTACGTCTGAGCTCATTCACATTCCTTATTATTCATTCCTTATTAACATTTCTCAGTTGCATGCTCTATTTTCTCAGTAAATAGAAGAGTGCTTTCTACAAATGGTTGTCAGGCAGAAATCTGCCATGCAATACCACCATGGCAGAAATTTGATAACACTGACTGCCATACCTTAACAAATGCCATAAACTGCTCCTGGACACGAACAACAACCGCCATTCTTTTTAAGTGAGAAGCGAAGTGATGCCTTTGAATGATCTGGACAGTATTATTACTTCCCCTGCATTTAATTTTAAATCAAGTTTTAAAGCCATATCGAGAGGAATTATCTCTACAAACTATATCTACCCCATCTGTGGTCAAGAACACATACTAAAAAAAAATTGGAACAAGTACAACTTATCACCTTGACAATATATGTGTGCCACAAAAACAATCCAACCCTGTTAGACGTGAAATAGACACAACCTAGAAAGACTTAATCACATGCTGATTTTACATTTCTCAGAGTCCAACCTACAAATTGAAAGTCCAAGTCCACTTCCAGAAGTTAAAGCTTGTGACAAGTTCCAATCGTGTACTATTCAGAATGGAATTGTTTACTAAGGAATAACAACAAAAAGTAAAACTATTAAACTAGAGAAAAACCAATGACATCAAGGATTCACTAAAATGGAAACAAAAAACCATGTAGCATACTTTTTTGGCATGGCCTTTTCATCTGATTTGTATGCCCAATCAATTCCTTTAAGTGCAGCCTTCTCAAGAGGATCACCAACCTACATCCAAGAATGGGAAAAATGAAAGAAAAGAAAGAACGGAAAAAATATTTACTCGAAAAACAGTAAAAGAACCAACTGTGACTTCAATAGATAAGAAATTGGAAAACAAAAATGTACAATGAGTGAATGACAGTATTTAAGGATTTCACATTTAATGATTATGCAGGCCACCATGATACTTCTTAATGTTGTGAGGCAGAACCTCGACATTCTGGCAGATATTGAATCCTAAAACTAGCTAAAAGATCACATCTGTCGAATAGTAGAAACACCACAGAAACTGATAACCTTGCACATCACATTTCTTAACACCAGTTCCTGCATTTGAGGAGTTAATATTACCTTGAAACTTCCTAAATTTCTATAAAAGAGAAGGTCAAACATCAAGAAAATTCATTATACTTCCTCCTTTCACTGCATGTGATGGGGAAGCAAGAGGGCCGCTCTGAAAGAATTAACATACAATAACCTTGTCTTCAATAGGCCATCTAAATATGTGAACGATTTCTACAAGGTTAACTCAGGTCAATTAAGTATATCTGATAATCAGCATAAACGAACCTGAACTTTTTAATCAGTGGCCTTTCAGGCTATAGAGGATAGGCTAACTAAATGTTTCGTCATAAACACAATTTGATAGAGAGTTGAATATAGCACTGGAGAATATATTATACCAGCTTATTATCCACGAAGACCAAGGCATGACAAGAAGCAAGAATTTCCGAAGTTCTATCAGGCACTTTAGACATTTCTGTTTCAAGGTCTTCGCCGTCAGTTAAACCACCAACACCAGAAAATTCCTGAGGCAAAGAGCAGCATCGTCAAATAAAGGCAAGGATGACATATGAGTTTCAGCTTGGGAGGTCATACCATATCATCAGAAGTTAGTGTCCCTGTCTTATCAAAACAGCATATATCAACCTGCAGACAGAAATAGATCACAAGCATGCAGAAATGCACTACACAAAAATAGATCACAAGCACGCAGAAGTGCACTACACAAACCATGTCACATATGGAAACAATAAATGAAACACAAATACATATAGGGGAGGGAAGGAATCAACTAAATATTACAGTATTTAACACATATAGTATGACAGAGAAATTTTTTAGGATGTTTCCAAGAGCAATTGTTGGTTCCAAAAGAAACAATAGTAAGGTACAGTCCCGCAGAATTAGATTATCTTAGGTCAAGTCCGTCTATATTTATGAGGAGCAAAAGTCCGTCTATATTTATGCGGAGCAAATATTTGTTCCCAATAATATAACCCCACTGTACTATCACCTAGAGAATGGCGCAGAAAAAAAAAATAGTCAGTTGTAAAATCGGTCATTAGAGAATACATATATTATAGCAACTAATGTATCTTGATTTCTATTTAGTTGAGTTAAAACTGGAAGTTAAGGATGCTAATAATATGAATCATCCAAAAATTGTCTCAGCGAATACTTGCTTGTAATGTTCACCTTTCCAGCAAATGGGATTCTAAATGGTTCTGTACAATATATCCCGAGCCGTGCTAGTGCAATCAATGATGTATTAACAGCAATTGACAGTTCCATTGGAAGTTCGGGAGGGATCACAGAAGTAATAATTAGTGAACAACTCAGAAGAAGCTTGTATTTACTCCTTGTTGGATCCTCAAGTCCCTACATTAGAGCACGATTTAGTCACACATTGGCATATTCACAACAGAAAATAGTCCAAACACAGTAGCTGAAAAATAATCATTACGGAAACCTACCTTCTTAAGGACATAACCAGCAGCGATCAAAGCAAATATTACTAAGAATAATATAAAAAGGCCACTTTCCCAGCTGTTTGCAGTAACCTACAGATCGCATAATTATAAACGTAAAAGATACAATATAGAAGGAACAAGAAATGAAAATATTGGCTTAATATCATTAGCAAATTGCCAAGATAAAAAATAAAATACCCTCTCAGTAGAGAATAATATAGTACGCATTAGCTTTCCTTGACTTGTTTCAAAACCAGTTCTCAAAACAACTGCTACACAGCCTCCATCAGGAGCTTTCAGGTAAAAAGTCTGCAGCAAGAAAAAAATAAAAGTCAGATAAAAGTGTAAAATCCCTGACTTCACACACAAGAACAGTATGTAAATAAAGGAGTGGCATACCTTGTCTGGAGTATGCTGTAATATTTTTGTACCACCAAAAAGAACATGTGCTTTATCACGTTTAACTGATAGTTTCTCATCAGTTGCTCTACCCGTTATTGAAACCTGGAAAGCGCACTTAAGCTTTGAGATGAAAACTTTAACAAAAACAAAGCGCTCAAGTGTTTGTTATGAAGATTATATCAGTTCTTCATAAAAGCATGGTTTCTAAGACAGCAGGCTATCATTCAGCTCAATTTAGCAGGCTATAATTCAGCTCAATTTATATAGGATTAGGAAAGAAATGGTTAAAAAATACATTATCAAAAACAATCTATAATATTCAAAACTGGGCATGCTACATATTTGACACTGAATTACTATATAAATTAGCAAGCATATCGTATGGGGGTGATTCGGCAGGACTGTACACAGTGACAAGGTTGTTTATCCAACAGGCAAGAACTGTGATGTCCGACATAGATTATAGGTGTCACAGACAACAAATATTATTTTATGGCGATTGGGGAAGCAAGACTACAATAGTTCATATGTGAGCTCAATCAACTCTTCCAGCAACAAAACTTGATCATATTAGCTGAACTGATGGTAAATAGTTGCTAGAAGAGCTCATTGCATTGTGATATTTCTCACGTGTAAAGGGACTATATATATTTTTGACAAATAGTTTTTTTTTCCGTACAAATGTTGCATTTCAAAAGGTGTAAATATCCCTAATCTTAGTCTACATTTACAACTGTTATAGTTGTTTGGAGAATAGAGAAACTAAGAAAACAATGCAGTCACAATAAAAGAATAAAATCAAATGTAGGAAACTGGGAGGATCATAAAAATTGAAGAAAATAACCTTCCATTGTGGTGTGGACTCGCCAGTCAGAATAGCCTCATTCACAATAGCACTTCCAGCCAAAATAAGCATGTCAGCAGGTACAGACTTGTCTTCTCCATCGAGACCAGTAGAACGCCCAATAGACACGACATCCCCAGGCAGAAGTTCTGTCCCAGAGAGTTTAACCCACCTACAATTTCAATTTCAACAATGAAGTATATGCAAACATCAGAAGGGTAAAAGCAGAAAAAATAAAATAGACAATAAAAGTGGCATCCGTATACATACTTCCCACAGCGATACACCATCAACATCTGGCTATCCACCTTTACACGTCTAAGCTCAGATAGAGTCTTCAATCGGCTTTTTGCCATTGTTGACTCAAACATGAACAGCATGAATAACGTGAACAGACTGTAATACCAATATTCATCCAAACACCAGAGGCCCACACAGAAAACCTAAATGCAATGTGCATATGTATCAATTCGAGAAGAAAATGAAATTGCCAAGTCAAGAAGTTATAATGGCTAATATAAAAGATGTCAAACTTTCCAATCAACCTGAAATACAAAAAAAGGTTCCATGATTTGCTCTTTCATCAATCTTTGGAATGTGGGTTGGGGATATTCAAACCTGCACAATCAGACCATATTTATGAGCAAAGGACTTGAATGGACAGGGATTATTCATTTGAAATACATCATCAACATACACATTGTATCAATTAATGGAGATAATTCTGTTGTAGTGATATGTCTGATACAAATTACACAAATTTTGTTTTTTGGATGACTGTGTAGTGTGTTCATGCATAGACAAAGAACAAACACTGCAATGGACTGTTAAGCACATAGGCGATCACAATCACATCTTTTAAAATTCCACAAATTACAATATACGGTTTCAAATTCCATCCCAATTAGGTCATTCTAGAGCTCCACCTCTGGGATACTTGCAAAAGAATTGGCAGGCAAGTTTTACCTATAAAAATTCTTGAGGACATCTACTTCCTTTGCACATATCTCAGTAAACTGTATTTTTATATCAAGAAAAATGAAACATTCATATGAAATACAAATTAACATACAAGTGGATAAAATTCAAGCATCTTTTTATTTACAATATGTAAATACTATGCTATTATAATATGAAGCAAGAACATAAATAACACAGAAGAGACAACATGGAGAGACTTACACATTCCTTCCCCATTTCTCTGTGGCAGTCAGAACTTTAGCTTCTGTGCCGTAACCAGTATTCTTGAGATAATACCCAATTGTTTCCTTGGACGGATAAGGAAGCTTAAAAAACGTATTTTTCTCATTCGAATAAATAAATTGTTGCTTCCTGAAATCAAAGTAGATTTCTTCCAACTGCTGCGAAGTGGGAGAAGCTGCAAACTAAAGAACAAGAAACAAACTGGTTAGAAGTACAAAAAAATGATAAACCGCGATGTTATTTATTTCGCTCATTTTCCATCAGGGGATAGAATTATTAAATGAAGACCTCCCTGCAAGTCGAAACTTATAAAGAAGGATATGGAAATTTCTCAAAAGGAAAATAAAATTATTTCACAGTGGCACAGATAGGTATTGAGTAACAACTAACAGGTCAAAACAGCGAGCAGATTGACATGACTGTAGATACAAGTGCTGTAACCTAAACTCAGTATCTACGAAACAATTCTAATGTTCAGGACACAATTCCAAGCTAATCGCATAAATATGAGATGTTCATCTTCTCAAGCGTTCTTTCGGAATATCACACATTGATCAATCAAAGAGAGAATGAAAAACAGTCAAGTGAGATGGAGAATTAGGTGTTTGACCTTCCGAAAATGAAGTGGCACAACTTCTTTGGAGCCAGAAAATTTAGCTGGAGTGATTTTGCATGCATCAGCAGAGTAAATATCTTTAACCTGCTAATATCATTGAAGATAAATCAAAGATCCAACCTACTCAAGTATTATAGCAAAAGGCCATCATTTCACCAAAAAGAACACAAGTTCATTCATGAAACGCTTGGAGAAAAAGGCATGTCATGAGACAGGTTAAGCCCAATCATTGCTTCTACAGTACTATTTATGAGTATCAGGAGTTCAGGAATTCTTTTAAGAGACGAGTATAGCACTCTGACGTTTGTATTTACCATAGCAACTAGTGTAGTGTAAAATTTCCCGTATTGGTATAACTTTTTATTTATCAAAAAATACGTCAAAAAGAAAATGGTGAATAAGAAGATCTAGAAATTTAGGCTAACCAATGCACAACACAGTGTCACATTGTATTGTACTATAAATGCATCACATATCAAAGCACTCTTATTTATTTTTATGACATATCCACGCATTTCCAAATCCAGCCGTCCAGACACCATTCATGTTAACATAATTACCTTAATTGGTAATATATAACAATAAATAGATAAGACACACTATAACAGGAGATAAGAATGAAAAGGGATAAAACACGTCTAAACATTGAGGTTCTAATATTTACTGGGCATCTTACATACGCCTAACAATGCCAACCACTTTTTCCCTATCAGGACATTTCAAAAGGTTGAAGTTTTGTTCTTCAGTAGTTCGGTTATCATACGAGACAATATAAATTATACCCCAGTCTCTACACCATTCATATTTAATATAGGCAAATATGATCAGAACTTAACATTTATCTCTACACTCTATGTATACGAAGTATAGATAGTAAGCAAGGGTGCATAAATTTTCCAAAAGAAAAATGCCATCCATCTTTAAAAATAAATATAAAAATGATCACATTGTTATGTAAAATACTCTGTTTCTAAAATTCTGTGAATGATAGGGCACAAGAGATTAACCTTTGAATACTGTACGAAACATTTAAAGTCCACGGCCCAAACAGTGAACAGAAATACAAGAATATGGAATGCCACGATGCCACCCAAAACTACCAAGGCATCACCAAAATCCAGGCTAGGAACCGCAGCTGACAGCCACACTCCATAGAGAATCGTGAAAGGCCACATATCCAACCGCCATGCCCAATGCCTCTTTCGTAATAAATCAACAGTATCTACAACTTTACCACCAACATGAAACCTCGACATTATGCTTCTTTTGATGGTTCAACAATAGATACTCTGCACATTCCAAAAGGGTTAACTTAGCATTAAAAAATGACCCAGATTCAAAAATAACTAACTATAACATCCTTCAGCAAAATAAGTTCATATTAAAACAACATCCGAATACACATCTATAACATCCGAATTCAAGATGAATAATTCAAAACCAAGTTCACTATTTGACGAAATCCCAGAACATATGATATCCAAATTACACATCTCGAAACCAGGATGAAGTACAAAACGAGCCAACATAAACTAAAGACAAAAGCTTTTAAGGTTTCAATGATGTGCCCATGTCTCCTTGGGATCAGGGCAGAAGGGAGAGAGGAGTACCTGGTGCGTGTGGTCTAACAAGCTTGCGAAAATCGAGTTCTTGAAGGGATTAGCAGAAGCGGCACGGGTCGAAGAGGAAGATAGGACAACTCGGGCTTTTTGGATCCTAACCTCGATTTCAAACCAGAAAGGAATAACTCTTGGCCAGGGGTCAAAATTGAAGACCTTATAATATGGCTGGTGAGTATCCGATGCGACCGTAAAAACATGTAATTTTGACATCTAGGATTTTGAAGCATGGAGTCCACCAATTAGACTCATATATAGGAGATAGAGGGATGTTAAGCCTAAAGATAAATTAGTAGGCAGTGTTATAAGAGCATCCACAATGCTTTGAGTCTCTTTTTGCATATGTGACAAATAAATGGACTTAAGTCTATAATGACATGAACAAACCCAAGCTAAAAAATCCAAAATCTATTCAATGCAAAACAAAAAAGTACTAGGTTTAGAGTACTAAACAACCGATAGTAATATAGTAATAATAAATGCATAAAAAAAATATTTTTTGCCTATTAAAAAGAAAAAGAAAATTGTGAACAATTAATAACTAGGTGGGTTTGCACTTGGGTCCAAAATAGACCCAAGTGTGGACTTAGTCTCTCTTTTTCTAGTGCCACATAAGTTAGACTAGATCCACTTTTAATTACATTGTGAAATATTTTTTTTATAGACTATGTTTATTTCTTACATGGCATGTGATTTTTTCTAAGAGACCCAAAACATTGTGGGTGCTCTAAGTGAATTTTGCGGCGAATATTAGAGTATAGAATTTTATGATAAAAGATATTAACTCAAAATTTTGATTTTGATATATTTTAAATCAATTAACCATTTATGATTGTTAATGCAACAAAAATAATAAAAATCATTCAAATTATAAAAAGGTGTTGGAGTTAGATAAATTTTGACAACCAATTATGTGTGATTTTTTTCAAAAAGTTAACAAAATTTCACAAAATTGGGTAGTCGAGATTTTCCAAAACTTTATCTGACAAAAATTTAAACAACCCATATAAATTAGATTCTTTCCAAAATGTAAGAAGGTATGTAAAAGCTAACAAAATTTCACACGATTGTATAATAGACTTTTTTTTTCAAACGATAGAGATATTATATATAAATCACATAAATGTACAAAAGTGCAACCATGAGCTGAATACAACCAGCCAACAACTGTATAGAGTGGGAGGACAGTCAATGATCGCCTAAAGTCGACCCCACCGGGGTAATACAAACGACCACTAAAACACTAACACAAAAGAAACTAAAAGGATGCCGACAAGGTAATACCTAAGTGTATGCTCCCAACAGGAGAATAAGTTGACACTCAGGTTCACAGGGGTCAACGACCCAGACCAAAAACATAGCTAGACAACACACAAAACAACAAAATTCTCAACAAAACAAACAACACAAATTAAACTAGCCCTTCTTAAGCAGCAACGTCGAATGAAACAAAAACGGAAACAAGTCAACCACGGATCACGTAGCCAAAAGCATTGACCCCGAAACTGTCTAACCCAATCGGGTGCCTAACTGAGACGAAACTCCAACCCCGGAACCACAGCAGGTCGACTCGCACCACGACCACAACACCCGAGTGCACCAAACAGGCAAAAGAATGCCACGGCCCCAGCCCCGGCCCAAAATCACCTTGAAGTTACCCATCAACCACCGCCCCGCTGCAGCAACACCCCAATCAGCCTCACTTGAGAAAGAATTGACGCCACGGCCCCAAGAGACCCGGAAATCGAGTACAAGGAGGGGTGGCCTTGGGTACCGTCGCAGCCCCGGTCGCCCAGCAAACAAGCCATCGTGCAATCGAGTCGTTCCCCGCCTCAGGAACCGCACAACGACTCCACCTCCGCATGACTGAGAGAGCTCCACCATCTCATGACAGAGAAGCCCCCTACCTGAAGTAACGAACCTTGCAAAAGGATGAAAATCAGCCGCAGCGGACATGGTTCTCTTCCATGGAAATCGGGCAGTGGAGCAGGAAAAAAAGGGCGAGTACCAAGCAACTATGGGTCAACGACCGCCGACTAAGCACGATGGCCACTGAGGAAGGCCGACGACGGCCAATCGAAAGAAAAACGATGACGGTGGCGAAGAAGGGTTTCTGAGGAGAAGAGAAGTTATAACAAATTTGACCCTTAACGTAGTAGAGACTTTAAAAAATAATATGTAATAATTCTAAAAACATGAGTGATTCAGTAGTGATTAGATAGTATTATCGGTGAATTTTATGATAGGAAATTTCTAATTATAATATTGTATTTTATGATAAAAGATATCCTCAAGATGTGGTGTTTGATATTTAAATAAATTAGCAATTTACAAATGTTAATGTAAAAATAATAATAGAAAAAAAATCTATTTAAAAGATTGCGTTTCCGTGTGATTCTTTGAAAAAATCAACAAAATTTTAGTCTAAATTTTCAAAAAATTTATCTAAAAGATAATTTTAAACACTCCATAGAAATTTGGATATTTTCCAAACCGTAAGGCGTTGAAGTTACATAAATATGGACATTCGTGTGATTTTTTGGAAAAAAAATATCTCGTCGATTGTATATGTATGATTTTAAAAAAACAAACATTCAATTATAAATTGCGTCTAAAATTCAAAACAAAAATTACCTATAATTTTTACTACAATTAATCATATATGCTACCAATGGCAATAAATTAATTATCATATACATTAAGTAATTAATATGCACATCCTATAAATAAACATTAAACATATTAAATAAATAAAGACAATATTTACCGACAGAATAAATCCGTTGTTATTTGGCAATGGAAATTCTCGTTGCCATTGAATATGCTTGTTGCAATCCCGCTGGTATTTACCAACAAAATAAATTCGTTGCTATTCAGCAACGGAAATTTTTGTTGCTAACACAAATTTGAAAATTCTTGTTGCAATTCCGTTGGTAAATACCAACGAAATTACTCCGTTGTTATTTAGAAATGAAAATTTCCGTTTCTAAGAAAATTCTTGTTACTATTGCGTTCGTATTTAGCAACAGAATAAATATGTTGCTAACATAAGTTTGAAAATGCTTGTTGTAAATTCATTGGTAAATACCAACAGAATTATTCAATTGCTATTTAGCAACAAAAATTTTCGTTGCTAACACAAGTTTGAAAAATTTTGTTGCTATTCTATTGGTATTTACCAACAGAATAAATTCGTTGTTGTTTAGCAACCAAAATTTCCGTTGCTAACACATAATTGAAAACACTTGTTGCAATACCTTTGCAATTGGCAACGAAAATTTACGTTGCTAACACAAGTTTGAAAATTATTGTTGTTATTCTTTTGGTATTTATCAACAAAATAAATCCATTACTACACAAGGTTGAAAATGTTTGTTGCAATTCTGTTGGTAAATATCAATGGAAATGTTACATTTATTTAGAAACAGAAGTTTTTGTTGCTAATACGGAAAGTGTCTATTGCTATTCAGTTGGTATTTGCAAACGAAATAAATTTGTTGTTATTTAGTTTCGTTGTTTACACAAGTTTGAAAATGCTTGTTGCAATTCCTTTGGTAAATACCACAGAAATATGTTTCGTTGCAATTTAGCAACAAAATCTCCTTTCTTAACACAAGTTTGAAAATGCTTGTTGCAATTCCGTTGATAAATACAAACGAAAATATTTCATTGCTAACACATGTTTCAAAATGTTTGTTACAATTTCGTTGGTAAATACCAACGAAGATATTCTGTTGCTATTTAGTAATGAAAATTACCGTTGGTAAACAATATTGATAGTGTTCGTTGTAATTTTGTTGGAATTTACAAACGAAATAAATTTTTGTCATGATATATTTGGTAAAACTACTTGATAGCTGATAAGCTAGCTTATAGTTTATTAGTAATTTTTGAGCTTATAGCTTATGACTTGTAGCAGAAAAGCTAGCTTATATGATAAAAGTGTTTGGTAAAATGAGCTGATAAGCTAGGTGAAATAAAAATTTCAACGATCTTATTTGAAAAGCTACCAAAATAAGCTTATCAAATACGCTCGAGCTTTTTAAATAAGCTCGTCCTACCAAACGGAGCTTATTTAATACCGGGAGCTTATTGGTCTACCAAACATATGCTATGTTTGGTAAAACTAGCTGATAGCTAATAAACTAGCTTATAGCTTATCAGTAATTTTTTAGCTTTATAGCTTATAGGTTATGACTTATAGCTGATAAACTAGCTTATATGATAAAATATTTGGTAAAATTAGCTGATAAGCTAGCAGGAATAGAAAATTTAACTAGCTTATTTGAAAAGGTACATAAGGAAGCTTATCAAATAAGCTCGAGCTTTTTAAAAAAGCTCGTCCTACCAAACGAGACTTATTTGAATACATAGAGCTTATAAGCTAACCAAATAAGCTATAAGCTAGCTTATTTGTCTACCAAACATAGCCATAACCTTAATAACGAAGTTTGTCGTTGCTAATATGATTATGAAAGTGTCCCTTGCAATTCAATTGTAAATTTGTTAGTGTTTACTAATTGATTATCTATGTCACTGTACGCCAATGAAATACAAAGATATAATTTTTCTTTGCTATATTTTATTAATATTTTGTTGGTAATCCGTTTTTAAAAATTGTATATGTAATGCATTGTTAATCCGTTGGTAATTCCCACAATGAATATTTATGTTGGTAATTTCTTTTGGCTTTATGATAATTTCTTGTAGTGAGTGGCGTCGCCATAGAAAAGGCAATGCTACATGGAAAAGAGAATAAGAACTTCGTTCAAAACAATCAAGTTCATTTTTTTTAGTTTCGAGGACGAAAATCATTTTCATAGAGAGGTGGTAGCGCCCGGGTTTTTATTGAAGCTTAGCTCGACAGTATTTATTTAAGCATGAGTAATTTCATGAATTTTATAATTTAATCATAATCTTTAAAAATTATTTAATCTAAAATTATTATTAGTAGTAGTAATCTTATCTTATTAATTAGTAAGATAATTAAATATAGCCAAGTTAAGAACATTTAAATCAATTAATCTAAATAATTATAAGTAATCTAATCAAGTAAGTAAATAACTCTAATTTGGATTTCCTAAATTAGCTAAATTGAAATTTTAATCAAATAATTCCTGATCAACTAAGGAATAATTTAAATAAGTACATAAGAAAGAAAGAAATATTGGGCCTTGACCAACGTAATATTAGGTAATTCCTAAACTCATTGTTTGGAAGAGAGAGAGAGTCTGTCTGCCAAGACCAACGATTTTCGGCCCTAAGCAACTCCAAGAGTCCTCTCCAAACCCAACTTTCAAAAAATATTGTGCCTTTTTTCTTGAAATTGTCGGCCATAGCACCATAGGGTCCGAGAGGCCCAAACCAAGTGAAATTGTCGGCCATAGCACCCTAGGCTCCGGGAGGCCCAAACCATCAGCCGGCCTTATTTGATTCTACTACCCATCATCTCATCTTTTCTCCCCCAAAAATTCACCCATTTTCCTCCCACAAAAATCCGAATCCACGGCAAACCACCTTTCTCTCTCGGCCGAGCAAACTCCACCGGCGGCAAAGGAGTCCCAAACCACCTTTCCTAGAAATCGATCCTGACATCTGTGAGATTGGGTGCCAAACATCTCGATTTGAAGGGAAACCCTTTTTGCCGTCAATATATTCTACTCCTAAAATCTGAGCCGACCCTAATAATTTGTGGTCATGGGTGGCGAATTTGAGTTGCCGGAGCACATAATCCATCACATACAATCCTTTCTCACCGGAACGGAAGCTGTTCGGACATCAGTTCTCTCCAAATCGTGGAACCGCGCTTGGACCACTCGCCCAAACCTTGACTTTCACGACGAAGATTTCAGACGTATGAACAATTTTTCCAACCCCAGCTACTTGGACGAATTCGTGGAATACGTGAACAAGACTATTAAGAGATACGAAGAAAGGAAACTAAAGATCGATGGTCTTACGCTTTGGGTAAACAACTCATCGGTTGTTCATAAAAAATTGATCCTACAAGCCCTTAGTACGGGCGCGACTCATCTCCAAATTGGTGGACGTTTTAATGTGCCGAAGGCGGTGTTTAAATCTGAGAATCTTGTTCGATTATCCGTGGACTGTTGCAAAATCAAAACAAACCAGGTTCGAGTCGTAAAATTTACTCGGCTTGAATCCCTTAGTTTAACCAACGTCGAAATCAGTTCCGGTGAGATTTCTGGGATAATCTCCGGCTGCCCCTCAATCAAGACATTGTCGCTCACGGGTCTATTGTCATCATCATCGGTTGTTGGAGGTAGAATCTGTTGCCATACGCTCACGAGTCTCGTGCTTTGCCGGGTGTCCTTCTGTGGTGACGACCTGTCCTCTAAATTTCCTTCCCTCAAGGATTTGACCCTAGAGTGTCCTATGCCAGAATCGCTAGAGACGCGAGTTTCGAGCCGTTCGCTCGAGCGTTTCAAATTGGTTTCCTTCCCATGTTATTCGCATTATACATTCAAGTTGGACGTACCATGTCTCCGCAGGTTTACGTTTGATGGTTCACTCTCTCATGACATTAGTATTGCATCGGCGTCAAGGAATCTGGTGTCGTGCTTAACAATAACAGAAGAAGGTCACTTGACCACCACATTGTTCAAAAAGTTGGATAATTTTCTAACGGGTTTGGAGCAGTCGGAAGTTCATCTCTGTCTCCATCTCTGCTCACAAATCATATTGGATTATGAGCCGGGCGACCTTGAAGGTTTGCCGAAACATGAGGTGGCTAATTTCACGATAGACGTGTATGGTCTGTCGTTTATAACTTGTTACGTTCTTTTTGACGGGTTGTTTCGGATTATCCGTCCAAAGTTCCTGAAGCACTACCTACATCCCAAGTCAACCTGCGGTAAGATTCGCCCAATGTTGGTGAATGACTACCTAGTACATCTCGAGTCAAGCTGCAGTGAGAACACCAACAATGATTTTCTTGGAAAGAGGCTTTTTGAGGGAGTGAACGGGAGTATATGCTCGGTCAGGAGCCATCCTATGCGTAGTGTGCATGATCTTAAGGAAGTAACTGTGCAGCTTTTTGATGATGATGCTTATGAGTGGACTACCGTTACATGGGACTCATTTTTTGATGCTTCCACAAGCACAAACCGTAAGCAACAAATTCGTTTTCAATTGGAATGGAGACCATAGCTTAGTATGTCACAGTATACACGAAAGTAGCTTTCTACAAGTGTGATTCTTGAATGGAAAAATGTTTACAAATTCATTCTTTTTATGAGTTGAAACTTCAATGTTAGATTCCTTATGATTTAAATTGTTCGATCTTTTGCAAGTCTCAAGCGTAACGGGAAGAAAGATCAATTTCTGACTGTAATAAAGGGGTATAGCTCAATATATTTTAAATAGTTTTTGTTGATTATTTTGCCTTGTTGTCCTTAATTATTTTGATGTTCGTCTTTAGTGTTTCCTTGTTTCTAGTGGCATTCACTCTCAAATCATGTGAAACTTTGATATGACATCAATTGCTTGGAGCAGGCAACAAAAGTGATAATATGTATGATTGCTTGTAAACTTATTACATAGATGAATGTCAAACACTAATTGATTTTTGGTATTTAATTAAGGTAAAATAGAGTTGACAAAAATTCTGCCCTGCCCTTCTGTTTTGCATTTTAATCGTATTTTTCCACTTTTGGCACAAGTTTCTGTATTGTTACAAATCGAATTATGTTGGTCATTTTTGTGTCGGAAAGATGACATGGCAGGCTACAAAAATCGGCGTGGCTTTGGATAAAACATTTCGAAAGAAAAAGTAACATCACCAGGAGGAGAAAAACCCAGGAAGAAAGAAATTCATGGGCAACTGATAAATGTGCCAAAGAAATATGAAGCCAACTAATGCCTTGAAGTAGATTCATAAAAATAAAAAGCTGACGAAATGGATGTTGATGGGCACGATTGGGGTCGTAACAGTCTTCCCTTTCTCGGTCATGGAGGCGTTGGTGTATGGTCGGTCACGGAATAAATCCCTAATGCTCGGTTAGGAGCCTTTGCATGTATGGTTTGCGGCATCTTGAGGGAGTAGGAGCTCAGATTTTTGATGAATGTGTTGCCACTTGGCGTCTTAATTCGTTGGATACTTGGGATGCTTTAAAGGACCAGAACAAAATCCGGTTCTAGTTGATGTGGAGAGATGAAAGCCCGCAGGTTAATTAAGATTAGTGTTATTGTGCCTTTCATTGATCTTGTTAATTTATTTGGTTCTTCCCATCTTTCCTGCTCAATTCAATAAAAAAAGCTAGGTTCTGTAACTATTTTCGATCACGAGGGGGGCGACTTCACCCAAAGAAGTAAACATGCATTTTTTTTTTTTTTCTTATGGTGATGTTGCTGTGTGGACTTCATGGCCATGGGAAATGTTTTTACGTTCTTCGACAAGAACAAAATGTTGGTCCAGCTTCTATGACGGACTTATAAGATCGTGGTTAGACGTGGCCACGAGTCACCCGGCCCGGTCAAACCCCTTGACCACGGGTCCGGGCCCGGCACGGATTTCAAACGGGCCGGTCAAGGGTCCTTTTTTTCGACCTTGACCCGGCGGGCAGGACAGGGTCCGTGCCGACACAGAAAATGCATTGCTTTTAATTTTTTATTTTTATTTTTTAATTTCTTATGTAGCCGAGTCCAGACCCGGGTCGGGCTAGGGCGTAGACCCGACACGACCCTAAGTCTGTGCCGGTTCAAGGTCATTGAAATCCAACCTGGTGGCCCGACGGGCCTGGCTGGGCTGTTACGCGGCCCGAGTTTTGGCCATGTCTAATAGTGGTGTTCAACATGATATGGATTTTTGGTGAAAAATATAAAAGTAACTCCATAATTATTAAAATTGGAAAGGACATTTCATGTTCATATATCCTTAGTACGTACCCCGTGCGATGCACGAGATGGAAATATAAAATGAGTTATTTTCACATGTTTTGTCCGTTTAAGTATATAAAACAATAGGGTTATCATCTATTTTTCATCTCTTTTAATCAACGTTAAGTATAATAAACAATAAGGTTATAATATATTTTGCACCTCTTTTAATCAACATTATATTTTTAGTCAAAATATTAAAATAATTAATATATTATTTCACTAACACATTTATCCTAATTTAAATTTGAATTTTAGTATATATATGTATTCCTTGATATAAGAGAGAATAACAATCTTACTTATTCTTGTTCACCATATAATACTTAATTATTATTTTATTATACACTTTATGTCATATATTGTAATTATTATTTATAAAGTTATAGAAGTTGTACGTCTTCTTTTTATTTTTATTTTTATTTTATGTAATGAAAAATATTTAATGCACGTTGGTATTATTTATTTATGTAATCAATTTAAAATATGTAAGTAAAATTAATATTAAATAGTGTATAAATATTTTACAAAATATAAACATGTTTTTTAGAATATAATTTTGTATACTAATTAAACAACTTTTATTTAGAAAATGCAAAAAACTCGATCCCCTCTATGATCATGATTTTTCTAATTCACATTATAAGAATTTATGGTTTATCTAGCATACTCAGCAATGAAAATATATTTTACAAGAATTTAATTATAGAAATAAATCAAAATAAAAAAATAAAAAAAATATAATCATGGGTGCCAATAATATACGAATAAATTTTAAACAATAGTTAATATGTTTCAATTTTAATTTTTTACCATTAGTAAAACTATTTATTGTATCTGGTATCTCTTAAATGGTAAATTATATTAAATTGAAGAACGATTTATTTTTTATATTTAACAAAATAAAACTTAAGAAACAAATATATTGGCAAAGATTAATTCACCAACTTGATTTTGTCTGATTACTTGGAAAAAAAATTCTACCTAACCTATTAAGATTGTCCATAAATATTTTTGGATAAAAAGTGAATATTTGTGAAAAAAAAAAACTAATATTATGGTTAGAACTTAAACTATGGTGTAATATTATCATGACCAAAATATCAAATGGATCACAGAAATAAATCTTGTAATTTATTGTAATGAATATCAATGAAAGTATTACAAATATTAATAAGATAATATTTATCTTGACCAAAGTATTATCAACATTAATCACAAAAATCAATCTTGTAATTTATTATAATAAATATCAATGAAAATACTGCAGATATTAATAAATTTATTTAAATAAATATTTGATCATATGTTATTTGAAATCGTGTAAATAGAAACAATTAATGCATATATTTAAAATTTTTCAAAAATAGTATGCATTAAATGTTTCCTAAATTTTTGCTACTATTTTTAGTAAATGGTAATTCTTTTTATATATAGACTAGTATGTGCAGCGTACGAGTAAGACATATCTCATTTATATATTAATTCAAAATATGTTGAGCTTAAGTGGTAGCTTCATATATCATTTATATATTAATTCAAAATATGTTGAGCTTAAGTGGTAGCTTCGCATTGTTCGGAATTCTATGTGGCAAAATTACATGTTTTGTTATTAGGCTTGGGTATATTTTAATCTATTTTCAATCAAAAAACAATTAGATCCGGATTATCCATAAATATGTTGATTATTTACGGTCATGTTACATGTATTAATTGTATTTTAATTTTATTTCTTATTATAATAACCATTGAAGTGTGAATATATTTTAAAGTTAATAACTTTTGTATTTTTATCAGTTTCACATATATAATATATCAAATTAATCATCTCTTGATGAGCTTCGATTTAAAATCCATATTGTATGTATAAAAAAAAAAAATATTTTTATCTTTATAGCAATAATAAAATTATTTTTAATTTTAATTAGAAAAATAAAATTATTTATCATGTAAATATTTATATTTCAAGTAGTTATATGATATGAGTCATAAAAATTACTATAATATAACACATGTAAGTCGCACGCACAAGTAACAAGTGACATTCTAAAATATAAATAGTATATATTTTTTGTAAAAAAGTAAATAAAATTAAAAATAAATTTTATCATTAATTTTAAAATTTAAGAATAATTTTTTAACAAGTACCCATGTAATACACGAGAGTTGTACTAGTTCATTAATATTTATAAATTATAATTATTATTAAGTAATATTTATAAACTAAAAATATTATATCGATATGTAATACAATTACCTATACTTATTTATTGAAAATATTATATAAAGTTTAAATTGTACAAAATTACATAAAAAGGTCAATTTAAAATTAGTACACAAATCGTGTGGTAAAAATGTCTATTTAAAATTAGTACACAAATCGTGTGGTGCACACAACTGATGATAAATTACATTATATTCGTTTCAAAATAAATATCATTTCAACATTTTTATTCAAAATTCGATTTGGTTATAATGCGATTCCATAAAATATTTATTTTGGGTAAAATGTTATCATATATTTAACAACTTATGTAAATAATAAGTGTAAATATAAAATTTATATTGTTTCATTTCTTAAAATAATTTATTTTTGTATAAACTATTCAAATAAAAAAAATAAGTAGTTTGAGTAATTTATTTAACTATAAATAATTGACTATTCCGTTTTACGTCTAAATTAATATTGACCTGTAAGTTATTGAGTAACATTCAAACTATAAATAATTGACTATTTTGTTTATGTTCAAGTTAATATTGACCCGTAAGTTATGAAAACTTATTTTTTATTTTTAATTTAAAATAAAAAACTTTTTATTTTTTTTCAATATATAATTTAAATCATGCAACTAATAAAGGTAATAGCTGCAAGTTTGGTCAATATTAATGTTCCAAATTTAAATCATGCAACTAATAAAGGTAATATCCGCAATATCTGACCAAAATAATTATGTAAATTAATTACATTAATTTAGGCAAAATTTTTCAAAATTTGGCTAAAAGTATTACTCAATATAGTAAATACTTTAGGCGGGAAACTAAATATTTTTTTTTGCTGATTTTTAGTTGTTACTTCAAGTAAATATCATTATCTCTTTATGTATTAATTGATTTGAACCAAGGGAAGACATATGAATAATAAAATATTATCTTATTTCATGTTTATAATTATGGAATAAATTTTCATGCATTTGGCTTGGATGAATTTTAAACTCAAAAAATAATTAAGTTTAGAATAATAATAAATATACTAAATACTTATAATCCTGTTTATGAACATTAATTATACTATATTTTCTATTCTATACGTGATATATAAAGCATAAACTTTTTTCCTCAATCTTTCTTTTTTCTTCATCTTTAAGTTAAATTATAAATATATTTAAAGGTTAATAATTTTTTGTGTATTACAATGTTTAAATTTGATATATAATATATCAAATTAACCATGTGGTGATGAGTTTCAATTTAAAAAATATGTTATCCATATAAAATAAATAAATAATTATATCTATTTTTATAATAAAAATTATACTATCTATTAAAATATATTGAAAAAACAAAATTATTTTTAAGTCTTTTATATTACAAAGTTGTGAAATGACATAATTTAAGAAAATTATTGTAGTATGAGATTAATATGAGATGAAAATTCGTATAAATGATAGACTATTATTTTAAATATAAATAGTAATATAGTTATTCAGTATCCTCCCTATATATAATTCCCGAATGCGCTGAGCTTACGTGGCTGCTTCTGGTGTTTTGGAATCCTATTTGACAAAGAATCATGCTTCGTAATTAGGTTTGGACAAATAATATTGATATATTAATAATTAATAATCTAGGTTCGGACATTCCATAAATACTATTTAGCTAACTTAAGTATTTTAATATCATTTGTACTAATATAACCCTTTACTTCCTTGTAATTTTACATAGTGAGGCACTAAATGACTAATATACCCCTGACTTTTGACTTGTTTCCTTCAATTAGCTATTGAATTGTAAATGTATTTTAAAAGTTGATAACTTTTGTATTTCTTATCGGTTTTACATATATAATATATCAAATTAATCATTTTTTGATGATCTTCGATTTGACATCCATATTGTATATATTGCGATAAATAAATTATATTTATATTTATAATAATAAAAAATAATTATATTTATTACAATTCATTAGAAAAATAAAATTATTTCTCAATTGATATATTTATGATTAATGTAGTTATATGTTGTAAGTTAAAAAATTATTATAATATAACACATGTAAGTCGCACAAATAAAAAATGTCATACTAAATATATAAGAATATATATATTTTTTTTATAAAAGGTATTTAAATTTTTAACTATTTTTTCTAATTAATTTTAGATTTAAAAAAAAAATAGCAAGCACCCGTGAAATACACGGGAGTTGTACTAGTCTATTTTGAAACTTAAAATATGTTATTATTATTATTATTTTAATTTTAAATATAAATTTCTTAAAAAAAAAATTGTGTATTTACACGGTAGTGTATTTTGGGCTCTTTACCTCTTGTAAAATATCGAAAATGCCCCATGCTGAAGTATTTTTGTTGGGGGCTTAATTTTGATTTATTTCTACAAAACCTAAAGCTACACATCTGCGCGAAAGAGTAGTCAAAGGCGATCAGATGGCCCGGAGACTGATCGGTGACTTGTCGAGGAGGCTATCGTGCCCTAAGCAGCTACAGCAGCACCGCAATTTCGGATCGCCGCCGCCGCCGCCCGCCGTCTTCGTCGATAAGAACACGCGCGTCATTTGCCAAGGCATCACTGGAAAGAATGGCACCTTTCACACGGAGCAGGCCATTGAGTACGGTACCAAAATGGTACTTCATCCGTTCGATTGGCTCTTCATCTGGTCTTTCAGTTTTACTTCATTCTGTGTTTCTCTTTTTAATTATCTGTATTTCCCTAATCCAGATAATTTTGTGATTTAAGCAGTCGTTTGTTAGTTTGCAAATCTGCCTTTTTGCAGGTGTTCCGCCCTAGTATTCCAATATTTTGTTTCGTAATGGGTCATAATGGCTTCATAATTGGTGCTTGCTTGTGAATATGAAAATGGATCATCAGTTGATTCCTCAGGCATTTGGAGTATTTTAGAGTTTTAATCCTGATTCTTTAGTAAATGGCTATTTATCATAGTGGAATAGTGAGCTAGACCTAGAATGTGTTTATGTGTGTGTGTGTGTGTGTGTATATGTGTATAATATATATATATATATATATATATATATATATATATTTATTCCACGGATTATACTGTTTAATATTAGGCATAATCCAGTCAGAAGTTTAAAAATGGCCACCCCTTGTTATTCTGGTGCATTTGAACATATATGGATATATATGAACATACAGTCTAGATAACATGGGTGCGCCGATGTTTGATTTTGTTTGTTTGGGGTGAGGTTAGTTGTTGTAGGCCATGATAGATTCGGCCATCTTTTAGAAAACGGCATATTTAAAATGGCGACGCCTCGAGGAGAGGCGACCGACGCGAGGGGCCACATCGCCTCGCCACTGCCTGACGACCCTGTTCGCGAGGCGCTCGCTTTAGGTAGCCTCAGCTCACCATTTTTAAACAGTCAAAGGTGACAGGGTGTAGCATCTTTTCTTTCGTTTTCTTTTACTTTACACTTTTTATTTACCTTCTTTAACATTTTTCGATTTTATGTTAATACATTCTGTAAATTCAGTATTTTTTCTCTGAGATTATTTAAGATTATTTTTCGCACTTAAACTTCAATATATGATATTACTATATATATATATATATACTTATTGTAAGCTTTGATGGCTTGTGTTTGCGAGGCCTTGCCATGGCGAATCGCCTCACCTCGCCATTGGCCATTTAAAACTATGTGAAACGGAATCCAATTGTCTTGTGATGGATGCAGATAACATTAATTTTACCAGAACTTAAATTCATAAAGAATGAATTTTGGTGCACATTATTTATTTCTTTTAGTAATGGTCATTTTCTTAACAAGATGTAACTTTTGTGCACTGCTCGAACTAATATTTTTTACGACTTGTCTCTTAGGGGGGTGTATTATATTTATACTTTTAAAGACTTTTTGATACTTTTAGAATTCTTGTGTATTTAATTAGAATATTGAGGTGTATAACTAAACATATATGGGTGTTTCTTTTTCGCTGGTATTTTATTGCCTAAGTTGGAACCATCTTGATTACTTATGTTATCACATGTGTAAAGTTCTTATTCAGACCATGATTCTGAAAAATTTGTACCATTTTAATTTGGAAAGTTGATCCAAGTTTGAGAGTTACTATAGGGGAACCATACATCAAACATTTATATTGGATTATTGGGTGCACATATGTACACACAACTACAAATACTCATAAGCACATACATGAATAAACAGTCACTGGTCTTATGGATTCCAAATTAATCTCCCCAAGTTCCTCCTCAAATTCATAAGTCCATGCTGAACCCTGATATTTTGGGAGTTATAAACCTGATAGTATAGGAACGAACATGAATTTCTCAACAATTGAATTGAAGAGTATTGTTAAAAGAATGTTTATTAGTTTCCGATGTTAAATATATGACATATCATATTTGCATTTTTAGGTTGGAGGAGTGACCCCAGGAAAAGGTGGAACCGAGCACTTGGGACTCCCTGTTTTCAACTCCGTTGCAGAAGCAAAAGCTGAAACAAAGGCTAATGCATCGGTGATTTATGTCCCGCCCCCTTTTGCCGCTAAAGCCATCATGGAGTCGATGGAGGCGGAACTAGATTTGGTTGTTTGCATCACGGAGGGAATACCACAACATGATATGGTAAGATATCTTTGTCTTTTGTCAACAATGACAAAATTGAGTAGTCTTTTTCCAACCTGATCTCATTGACATAGTTTTTTTTATACCGCCAATTTTGTGGATTTTCTTTAAATTGATGTAGTTAAATGAAAATTTGATTTCCATGTGTATTAATCATTTTTTTGGCATAAGACATGTTCTTTCTCCAAACTCTTGTAGCAGAATGTTGGTTTATCTTTCTAGGTAAACACATATTATACCAGAGACAATGTTCAAATATGATATTCTGTTGCAGAGTAGGTTAGCTGATTAAAATTCCTTGTCTTAGTGTTTAAAGTTGGGTCTAGTTTGTTGGTAAATGTAATCAACAATTGATCAGTCAAATTTGGCTGAACTATGATCAGTCATTGCATGCTTGTGACAGTTGCTCATGGGACTCCTTGAATGCTGTAGGATGGATATAGTTTCTGTGACATTCAGATTTGATGCAACAGTCTTGGTTTCATATTTTATGTGGAGCTATTTCACTGAAAAAGGCAAAGTTTGGGAAGGCAATGTTGATGCATCAATAAAACCTGTTTGTAACTTTAAATTGAGAAAACACAAAGGAAAGCTTCTACTTACGTATTATCTTCAATAATTATTGTTCATATGATTACATTAATTATTTATCTATACCAATATAGAAGCATGGACGATGTCTCTAGTATCACATGAAGTCTTGTTTTATTAAATCATGATTTGCTATCTATCTAATGACATCTTATTGTCCTCTGTATAGAGTTTCTGAGTCTGTTTCTCATGGTTTATTATATCTTGAATTTGATTACCAAACATAGAGTCATAGCTCATCCACAAAGCTTATATCTGTTGTCCTATCTTAAAACTTCAGGTTCGGGTGAAGGCAGCTCTTAATAAGCAGTCAAAAACTCGGCTAATTGGTCCAAACTGTCCTGGCATTATCAAGCCAGGGGAGTGTAAAATTGGCATCATGCCTGGATACATTCACAAACCGGGACGTATTGGAATTGTTTCTCGATCAGGCACATTGACTTACGAAGCGGTGAGATTCATTTCTCATTGCTGTTACACACCTTTCCTAAAGTAATATATTTGATGTTTAATAGGAGTCAGCACACATATTCGTTTATCACACATTTCAATTTTGGCTGCTGTCTGAATAACTTTGTACGTATTTCTAGGTATTCCAAACAACTGCTGTTGGCCTTGGCCAGTCAACATGCGTGGGAATTGGTGGAGATCCTTTTAATGGAACAAATTTCGTTGATTGCATAGATAAGTTTCTTGTGGATCCCCAGACAGAAGGTAAATTTAATCTGGCTACTTTTTATTCTCATTTGCCATCTCACTATACCTCACTGTGCAGTGTTATTTTTTAAGTTTTGTGAATGTTTTTCTCAAATACATTTTTAAGTGATAGATATTTATTCTACCGAAAATAATTAGAAATTACTATGCGGTGGGGCACTGACTAAACGGGCTTCTCCACCCTATCAGACGTTTGGTGTTTGTGCATTGAATATAACTCAGAACATGTTAATCGGCATGCCAAGTAGGAATTGTAGTAGCTGACTCCCACTGATTGTGGTGATGGTAGATATAGCTTATGTTTCAGAAGACTGAATCTAGTACATCTACTGATGTTAGCAATCTAGAAACTGACTATGGTTCATCTTGGTATCGTTGAAGGTATATTCTAATAATGAGGTCGCACTAGGCATCAGGCACATCACCAGTATGTGGCTAAGCTTTGTTTGCTGAAATTCTGACAGAGATTTCTATAATTAATTTCTTGTTGAAGAATAGGAGTGAGGTAATAATTAAGAAAAACTAGCAAGATAAGAGCTTATGTTGCTGCATTGATGAATATGAATTTGGACAGGGATGATTGTGCTCAATCATCCTTGGATCACTGTTTACTGCGTTGACTTACATGTAACTGGGAGGGTCATGTTGGTTATCAATTTTAGTTTGGCAGGTCTGCCGCAAATGACTGCTTGGTGTTCAGAGAGATATTATATATGAAATGTGTATATTTAAGCTCAGTAGCTTATAATTACCTATGATTAAGGAAAATATGTTGCTCAGATTTTGCACGCATCCTTTTGCTGATAGCTAAGATATTGCTTTGCATTTCACTTTTTAGGTATCATCTTAATTGGTGAGATTGGTGGTACAGCAGAGGAGGATGCTGCAGCCCTTATAAAGGTAAATGCTATTCTCACAATTGCCTGATAAACTAAAAAGTACTGCCTCTGGACATTTTTTCTTAATAAAGTAGTTCTGTTACTTCTTTATATCTCTTGATTGAAAAAATTGGCATTAATTGTATTAATGTGCAGTCCCTTTGTGAAGGCTACCTATACATGGATTTGAGTGTTAAATTGTTTAGCCTCCTAATAATTTCTGCTTAATCCTATTGAGTTTTCTGGATGAGCTTCTGTTCAACTTTGTAGATGATGTAATTTATCCTTTCTACCAGGTGGAGGCAATAATAAGATTTAACTCTTTTTTCCTTAATATTATTGTTTTTACAAGTTTTCCTTGTAATACAGTGTTTGCAATTTAGGAAAATAAATGGGTGAAATGTTCAGTTGTGTATGACTTGATGACTTTAGTTGATAGTGGTTGTGATAATTTGATTTGATGTGTTAAAAGTGACAATGATCATTATTCTGTCCTCCCAATTTTTTTTCAAGCAACCAACTCTTGGAAAAGGCTGTTTTCGGAGAGAAAATATGATATAGCTTTTTTTACGACAACCCACAACTTTATTAGCTTCTGCTGTTTGAGACTGTTACTTCCACAGATTAAAAATCATGTGTTTCTGAAGGATGATTTGATTTAGACCTTATGTTATTTTCTTGATTCCTCAACAAAACACGAAAATTCCGAATTTTCTGTCTGTTTTGGGTTTCTGATTACCTGCTGCCGATTTCCAGTTGCTAATACATAAATTTATCTTGATCCGACTCTCTCTCTCTCTCTCTCTCTCTCTCAATGTAACAGGAAAGTGGAACTGACAAGCCTATTGTCGCTTTTATTGCTGGACTCACGGCTCCACCAGGTCGAAGAATGGGTCATGCAGGAGGTACTGTATCTTTGTAATATCCTATGAATTTATTGTCTCCTCGTGTGTTTAGTTGCCTTATTCCTATTGATTTCAGTGCGTGCATGCATGTGAGGTGATCTTTCTCTGTTTTAGTGACTGAATACATCCGCTTTACATAAATCATGAAAACTGCTCAATGTTTCCTGTATATGTAATGTCAAAGCTGGAGAGAGCTATTTGCATTTACTTTCATTTATTTGGTTGGTGAGAGACCGACGAAATTAAACATTTGAATTCAAGTTGGTTTTATCCTTTTACAATCTAATTTGTGTATATAATTAGCGGGCCAGTCTTTTCTGTTATATTATATATTGTTTTGTAAATTTGTGCTTGGAGTTCAGTAGCAACTGACTGGTTCATATCTTTTACTTGCAGCTATTGTATCTGGAGGGAAGGGCACTGCACAAGACAAAATTAAGACCTTGAGAGAGGCTGGAGTTACTGTGGTTGAGTCCCCTGCAAAGATAGGAACTGCAATGCTTGAAGTCTTCAAACAGAGGGGTCTTGTTTGAGACCAATATTAATCGAATGATTTTTTCCGAACACCTTTCACCTTCGTTTGCCTTTTTTTCCGGTGGATAAGAATTACTGGTGGTTATGTTTTTCCCGCTCGAGCCTGTGATTGGTCATAATAACTACACATTAATATTTCCTGAGCAGTTTGTTGCAAATCCAAGCTGCATGAAGAATAACATTTCATGGGTTTTGTTTCGAATACCGGAGAGGTGAATATCGTTTTGCATAAGATGTTTTGCATTATTCTTAATGTGAAATTATTCGACTTTCATTTTCTAGATCTCTTATTCAGATCGATTTCTGTGTTTTTGAAGTGAATAAAATTATACAAAATAAAATAATTGTGGTATCATTTTGAAGTGAATAAAATTGTACAAAATAAAATAATTGTGCTTTTGATACCGTATCTAGTGGTAAATAAAATAATGATTAAATTGTACAAATTGATTTAATGTTCAACTCTGATAACAGCATCCAAACACAGATCTGGAAAAGAACAAAAAATTGCTTTTTCTTCTATGGGAATTAAAAAATGTGAAGCTAACAATGTCCGCAATCTCTCTTTCTTCCAATGGGGTGCTCTTAAACTAAACAACCGTGTCGAAGAAAAGAGCTGTAGGCGAACAAAATCATTAACAGGTGTACAAACTAGGTGGCCTGCAAAGGAGGCCCAGCATGTTAGAAAATAACAAAAAAAAAGTCTCAAAATCAGACCAAGTCGCGGATTGAGATTTATCTATCTCGGGTGGTCGTTAATTTTGTCTCTAAGAAGCTGGACCAAGAAGCTTTGCTCGTCAGCTTTATGATTGTGTAAAAGATTGTACAGTGTATGAAGTTCCTCCGAGTTTGCTTTCTTTAAGAGGCCAGTGAGTATTCTCTCAACCCCGACCTCAGACTTTGACTTGGAATCAGCACTTGGGTCCACTGGTCGAGAGTCGGATATCTGCATCATTGGCCGTGATTTCCAGTACTCTGTACACGTTCGACTCTTATCCATTGCCTCAATTACCTGTACAGATACAGAGAGTTCAGTATCATCTCGAAGCATCTACCCATGGAGCATTTTAGTATCATCCACAGAACTACCCTACAGTTTTGGGTTATTTACAGAATACTCGAAAAGTTTGCAGAAGAAATAAAGAAAAGGTCACACTGCTTCATATATATTCTTTCCTTTTCGGCTGTTATTCATAAGATGAAAAAATTTAAAAAATTCCAGTTGCATTCATCAAGTACCCAAATCAAGATCGGACCTTTAGGGTGTGTTTTGGCCAAGGTTATCCAAATCCGGGATTAGGACTTGGACTCTCAGAAACAAAACTCACATACAGAAACAAACAAATTCCGATGCAAACAGCAACCTATTAACGGAACCTTAGATAAATGAAGAATAGCAGCAAAGCTGCTCTTCTAGGATTTATATACTAACAAAAAAACAACTCAGTAGTTGTTAGAGGAAAGTACATGCCTGTACAATAGCTGGTGAAGAAAACCCAAACATTGCTATGCCGTCCACACTCCCAGGTGGCTGCAAAGGAGGAAGATTTCCTACTTCCAACTTGTGCTTCTTCACAATCTCTTGATTTACCCTCTCCCTAACCATTTCCCAGCATCTGCCAGCTGATTCGTGAATAAACACTTCACTTGGACTGTGCTCCACTAATACCTAAAAGAATATGCAATTAATCAGCTATTTACTCGTGTAAGAGAACCAAACACAAATAAGCACAACTCAGTATAGCAACATTGTTTTCTTTAAATGCATCTAGAAGCCATTCACGAAAACTCGCAAGGACAGATTGTACACTTCGTCAGCTACGGAAAAGAACTTACAAGAATAGTAATAACAAAAACAAAAGAAAAATGGCATATAGATCAGATTTGTGAATCTGATGGATACTTAGAACCATATGATGAGCCAGGGGAGGGAGATCAAACAAAATATAAAAAGCAATTTTGGCACGTGCGCATATAAATAGTATAATTACCAAAAACAAAGGTCCATTGCGCCCAGCATCCAGAACCTCTGAAACATAAAAGCAGGTTTTTGTTGGATCAAAAATATCTATATACTTAACCCGACTCCTAAATCCTGCATTCCACAGAAAATTAGTTAGTAATCTACTCAATAGAAGCTCCAAAAAGGTAATCGCTGTGTATCATAAATACCCTTTGGGTATATAGCCCGACTATCACCCCAGAACTTTCCACCACCAAAGTCCAGCGGCTCAACATTGCAGCTGATCCTCCTCACCAGTTTCGCTATACGAGGTCCCTTTTGACGGTAATATCCATCCAAATTCTTCACGCGAGAGCCAGATGGGCTTGATGAATTATGCATGCTTTCTACTGATCTCAACTCCACATCCTTCTCCACCTTTCCTTGACTATCTTCACTTTTCGGTCTTCCATTATCAATGAATTGTGGTTTGGGACCGTCCACATTTGCATTATCATGTTCAGGAGTGTCTTTTTTCCTCCATAAATCTGCCTCAGCATTGTCATCAACCCTATGTATAGGTTTCTCAGAAGTCCCCTTTACACCAGAAGGTTCTTCACTAAATCCATCTCCTTCATCATCAGTCAAGACTATGAAATTTTTGTTTTCAGGTAATGATACCTTTTTTTCCGAAGCTAAATTATCCGAATAATCTATCTTAAGGCCGTTAACTTGAGGAACCTTACACGTCGGTTTTCCACCGGATAATGAAATTTCTTTCTTAAAATCTGATGGCAGTTTCACTTTTTCCAGAGCCAATACAACCACAGGTGGCTTTGCATCCTGAGAAGTGCAAACGCTGCCAACACATTTCTTCTTCTCTTCCAACATATTTACTTTGGGCAGTGGACTTATTATCTCCTTTGGAGGCAATCCTTGAGATGATTGCATGGGGGATTGCAATTTATCCTTGGACACGTAGGAACTTAAAGCAAGTCCCAAGTCATGCCTCGCCCATCGATATACCGAGCTCAGTTTTCCCTCCAAAGCCTCGACCAACATTTTCAGTTCGTCCATGTCATAACGGAAAAGGAAAAATTTGGCACCCCACGAACAAGAACACAGCTGTCTTGCATGATTCAAGCATGCGTATTTATGCGGTGAACACTGGTGGCAACCAGCAGCAGATAAATGTAAATCAAATAGGCATACACAGCATTCCTTCTCACTGTCAGCATCAAAAGAGCTCTCCATCTTCAGGGACTGTGTTGATTTGCAGAGGAATTCCCTCCGGACCCCCTCAATCTCGACTCGATCCTGAGTACAAAATAAATTTGTCATTAATTGATTTAAAAGAAGTTTTGATGTACACAGGTACTAACATTAGTAAAAACCGCCTATATATCCGAACAGTCGATGCATATTTTCACATCAAATGATGGATATTATGAATAATTATTTTTGGACATACTTTGAGTGCTTTCGATAAGATCCCATCTTTGCCACAAACTTCTTTCCATCTCAAATTATTCGAATTAAACTTCCTCAGTAAATTGTATTCCCAATTTGCTTTCACAGCCTCTCTAGCCGCACCCAGCAAAAGTTTATCATGTGAAATGGAAGTTTGTCGACCTTGTTCACGGTACAGTTCAATGGCATTTTGTCCGTGAGGCAACCAGTCAATGGGAGCAACATTAACAGCTTCAGCACAGTTGAAACCAGAGTTAAAACCAGCATGATATGCTCGTGGGAAAGTCAGGACAAACTCTCCCGAATTCTGAACACACCTATAAACCGGCACACCCTCAGATCTTAAGATTGAAGGTGAAATTTGGGTAACCTACACGTGATTCAAAATCAGGAATCAGCTTCAGTACCACAGCAAAAAATGGAAGGGTTCACAAAACTGATTATACTTCCATTCTACCACACATAGAACGGATCTCAAGTCCAAATTTTTTTTATGAGCAACAGAATTTAAATAAGCAGATGAGGAAAGGATGAAGAATACTTATAAAGTTGAGTTTCTACTTTAGCACCTTGAGCAAAGAAATTACTATGCTTACCAACTTATGAAGTAAGTCAGGCTGCTCCTCGAAAAGGTCAGGCAGATGTTTCCTCATAGCTGCCTCCATTTGCAGAGCATTCGGCCCCGGAACCCCATACCACATTTTTGGAGCTCCCCAATGCATGTAATTTAACGAATACAAGTGATGATCCTCAACATGCTGTTCCCAAATTAACAATATATGAGAAATGAATTTGCAGATAAATTTTGACACTGATAATAATGAAGTATCATCAGCTGCTGTAGCACAACAATAAAGAAAAAGAAAAAAAGGAAAAACTATACACTATTTTTTTAGACTTTAGTAATTGCATAAAAGTATTATTCTTCTATTCTTCTATTCTATTGGTGTTGATGACAAGATAATCGTCTGGGGGAACTTCAACCAGGAAGCTTAACAAAAGAGCATAAAACTAATGGTGGGCCTCGTATATCCTGATTCAAGTAGTACTTTAACAATTTTCATAAGAAAAAAGCATCAGATAACATGCTTATAGATTAGCTAATAGCTATAAGGTCTGGAGAAGAAAATTTCTCAATCTTCCAGCCAACAACCTATCTTTTCATCTAACAAGTTTCAAAAACACAGTAACTCTCACTGATTGTGGCATGTCAATCATATGGGAAACACCTTCTCAGTTGAGCCGCCAACATAAATTAAAACTAGAAAAAAATCTTATCAACTAAAATCACGTTGAAGTACCGGCAAGATATATAGAGAGAACACTATTCATGTGAGGTGTAATACTTACTACGATTTCAGAATTCTGACATTTCTTGAGTTCTATGGTGCTCATTTAGTCATTTAAAAAAAAAAAA